ACATTATGAAAGGGCACTTTTCACTTCCCCAGATGTGACAGCCCGAAATCTGCCAGTCTGGGACGCTATGCTTTCTAGCTTGCAGATTCGGTGCGTTTCGCCAGTGGCTCACGAGCGCTGGGAGGACGGTCTCCTTTCTCCCACCCCTCGAGCCTCCCCTCCGGAGCTCGGGTTTGGAGTGAGAGCAAATATCTCACCTCCAGCTTTTCCGTGGGACCCGCGAGCTTCCCGGATCAGCACACCCACTCCGCGCTGCCCCACTGCTGGTACGTCAGCGATTGTAGCGATGAGTCCATTAGCGAGAGCTCTGCCTGCCTGGTTAGCGCGGGCCAGCTCTTCGCGGTGGCTCATACGCACAATCAGACTCGGCTATGCGATTCAGTTCGCGAAACGGCCCCCCAAGTCACGGGTGTGTATTCACCAGGGTCAGCCCTCTGTCCGCCCCTGTCTTGCGAGAGGAGATTGCTGTCCTCCTGGCGAAGGATGCAATCGAGCCGCTCCCTCCAGCCGAGATGGAGAGCGGGTTTTACAGCCCACGCTTCATCGTGCCCAAAAAGAGCGGTGGGTCACGGCCAATCCTAGATCTGCGCGTTTTGAACCGCTGCCTGCACAAGCTGCCGTTCAGAATGCTCACGCAGAAGCGCATCCTCCGGTGCGTTCGTCCTCTGGGTTGGTCTGCAGCATTAGACCTGATGGACGCGTATTTCCATGTCTCCACTCTTCCTCGCCACCGACAGTTCTGCGGTTTGCGTTTGAAGGTCGAGCTTGGCAATACAAAGCCCTCCCCTTCGGGCTCTCTCTGTCTCCGCGGGTCCTCACCAAGCCCGCGGAGGGTGCCTCAGCGCCCCTTCGGCTCGCGGGCATCTGCATACTCAATTTCTTACGACAGGCTGAATTTTGCCCTCTCTTGATTATGCACAGAGTTGATTATGCACAGAGACAAAGTGCTCTGGCACTTCCACCTGTGGGGGTTTCAGGTCAACCGAGAAAAGAGCAAACTCGCCCCCGTGCAGAGGATCTCTTCTCTCGGGCTGGAGCTGGACTCGGTCACCATGGCAGCGCGCCTCTCCGGAGAGCGCGCTCAGCTGATGCTGTACTGTCTGAGAGAGCTCGACAGTAAAATAGTGGTCCCACTGAAACTATTTCAGAGGCTCCTGGGGCATATGGCATCCGCAGCCGCTTCATGCCGCTCGGATTATTCTATATGAGACCACTTCAGCACTGGCTTCACGATCGAGTCCCCAGACGCGCATGGCACGCGCGCGCACACCGAGTCTCTGTTACTGCGCTGTGTCGCCGCGCCCTCAGCCCTTGGAGCGACCCCTCGTTCCTACAGGCCTGGGTGTCTCTAGAACAGGCGTCCAGTCTTGTTGTCGTTTCAGCAGACGCTTCCAACACGGGCTGGGGGGCTGTGCGTTGCGGGCATGCGGCTGCGGACCTGTGGAAAGGTACCCAGTTGCATTGGCATATCGCCTGGAGCTGTTGGCAGTGTTCCCCGCTCTCCACCGTTTTTTTCCGGTGTTGGAGCGGCAACACGTGCTGGTCAGGACGGACAGTACGGCGGCGGTGGCGTATATCAGCCGTATAGGGGGTATGCGCTCTCGCCGCATGTCTCAGCTCGCCCGCCGTCTGCTCCTCTGGAGTCATCCGCGGCTGAAATCGCTGCACGCCATTCATATTCAGGCAAGCTCAACCGTGCAGCCGATGCGCTCTCACGGCAGCCTTGCGTCCTGGAGAATGGAGACTCCACCCCGAGTCTGTTCAGCTGATATGGGCGCGATTCGGGGAAGCCCAGATCGATCTGTTGCTTCCCCCGAGATCGCTCATTGCCAGTTGTTCTTTCCCTGACCGAGTGCTCTCGGCACGGATGCACTGGCTTACAGCTGGCCTCGGGGCACGCGCAATACGCGTTTCCCCCAGTGAGCCTGCTCGCGCAGTTACTGTGCATTGTCAGGGAGGACGAGGAACAGGTTGCTGGTTGCGCCCCTCTGGCTCAACCGGACCTGGATGTCAGAGCTCTCCCTCGCGATAGCCCTCCCCTGGCAGTCCCTTCGAGAGAGCACCTACTCTCTCAGGGACAGGGCACCACCTGGCACCCTCGCCGATCTTTGGAGATTTTTAGACGCGAGGAAGACTTAGGTAACCTCCGATTGCGGTGGCTAATACCGTCACTCGGGCTAGAGCCCCCTCCCCGAGCGCGCCTATGCCCTGACGTGAAGTCTATTCACTGAATGGTGTGTCTCTCGCTGAGAAGACCCCCGTAATTTGCCAGATCAGCGTTGTGCTTTCTTTACGCCGAGAGAAGTTGGAGAGCAGGCTGTCGCCCTCCACACTCAAGGTTACGTGGCTGCCATCTCCGCTCTCATAATGCGGTGGCTGGCAGCACCGTGGGAACGCATAACCTCATCATCCGGTTCCTCAGGGGCGTTAAGCGAATTAATCCACCCCGCCCCCTCTCATGCCCTCTTACGATCTCGCCCTCGCTACACAAGCCGCGTCAGATCCCTTCGATCCTCGACTCAGTATATTTCTGTCCCTGAAGACAGCTCTGCTGGTCGCGTTGATATCGATTAGAGGGTCGGGGACCCGGAGGCATTTTTCGGTCAGTGACTCGTGCCTGTAATTGGGCTGGCTTCTCTCACGTATGAGACCCCGCCCGCGATATGTGCCCAAGGTTCCTACCACTCCGTTTTAATACGAGGTAGTGAGCCTGCAAGCGCTGCCCTCGGAGGAGGCAGACCCAGCCCTTATTTATTGTCCAGTTCGCGTTTGCGTATTATCCGGACCGCACTCAGAGTTTAGATCATCTGAGCAGCTCTTCGTCTGTTATAGCGGTCGGCAGCAGGGAAGTGCCGTACCGAAATAAGTTCCCACTAGATTGTGGATGCCTTTCTTTCACTATCAGAGCCGAGATGAGCCGCGTCCCCCGAGAGCGCGTGCGCACTCCACTCGGAGCTTCGCATCCTCTCGAGCGCGCGCACGCGGCGCCCCTCTAACAGACATCTGTAGAGCTGCGGGCTGGGTGACACCCAACACATTTGCAAGGTTTTACAATCTGCGAGTGGAGCCGGTTTCCTCAAGGGTATTAGGTAACCCTTGGTGATTGAGGAAACAATTCGGTAGGGTGTTGAAACACGCTTGCTGCGCCATTTTCCCTAACACGGAGATACGTGCGCCTTTTTATCTGTCAGTAAAGTTCCCCGTCAGGTGAGCCCTGCAGATTCCTCCGTGGCCCCCAGCACTGACTCAGCGGAGCAGTCACTTGCTGGCCCACTACGTTGTAGGTCTGCCCGCTGGTCAGCCCGCGTTTTGGGTAAAGGTGCCTGCTATGCGTGGTCCCCACTAGGCGATCCCATATGCTTATTCAGCCACGGTTAAGTCCCCCCCCCCTGGGCGGACCCGTGTCTTCCCTCCCCGCTAACCACTCTTTTGCTATGCGTACTCCCCCTTTTAGGGCTAGTCCATATGTAAATTCTGCCATCTATCCCCCCTTGGGTAACGGATGGCCTCCGCAGCGTCCTCCCTATCGGGATTGCACGCTTCCCAACGTACTGTCGTATTTTCCTAGAATTATCTAGATGCTCACGACTTCCCAAAAAATATATATAAATCCGTAAAACTTCTGTTGAAGTAGGATAAATTAGGGCCAGGGACACGTTGGAGGACCGCACCCCCCATGATGTGGGTGCGTCACGCTTGCTTGACTATCTCCTCATCGGGGGTGTTGGTAAGGTGCAGTCATTATGGCGCTTTCAATGGGCTCCCAATGCGTGGATTTTACAATCAAATCCACTTATAGTGCTGAAGTTCCCCCCGAAGGGGAACGTTCGAGGTTACTAAAGTAACCCTTCGTTCCCCGAGGAGGGGAACGGAAGCACTATACTCCGTCGCCATAATGACTGTCCCTTAGCTGTTGAAAGTCTCTTCAGCTTAAAAAGGATAGCGTCTGCTGCGCCAGGTGAGCTTATATACTCAGTTGATTGCTTATGCCGCTCACCTGCGCAGGCTTGCGCTGCCAATTCATTCTTAATTGGCCCGTTCAATACTCTTTCAGACGAGTAGCTTCTGAACCGAACCTCCCAATGCGTGGATTTTACAATCAAATCCACTTATAGTGCTTCCGTTCCCCTCCTCGGGGAACGAAGGGTTACTTTAGTAACCTCGAACGTTTCCGTGTCCAAGCCGGTACTGATTTGAATTGAATTCAAAGTCATTCAAGTCGTTCATGAACACTTTTTGTAATATCACACATTAGATTCAATTTTATATAATCATGGTGTACACAAGAGTCTCTGGACTTGCTGCATCACCGACACCAATATTTTAGCAATTTATAAAAAAATCTATCACATTCTGGCCATCAGATATTAGTCATGGTTATATATTTTGTGATCATGATTTTCAAAAGTATTACATCGTTTTGTAAATGTTTATTATTACCATTTGATGAGTCTCCCCATACAGTTTGATATTGCGCTTAGACCATGAAGCTATTTCGCGTGGACTAGGATAGTGGACTAGAGCAGTGTTTCTCAACCACGTATATGAAGGAACCCCAGCTCTGCATATTTTCCATGTCTCCTCAACCAAACACCTGATTCAGATCTTCAGCTCATTAGGAGAGACTGAAAGAGCTGTGATGAGTGTGACAAACAAAGGAGACATCCAAAACATGCAGTGGTTATGAACGTGGTTGAGAAACACAAGACTTCAGTACTGTATATGTCTGGACACATAATGTTTCTTCGAAAAAGGACATTACTAACTTTATAAACAGCATTTGTTGAGGTTTTTATGGATCTCTGTTAATAAACAGGGAGTTTTTAGACTTTGTTGTCTGTGCATGACACCTTTCACAAACACAAAAGTATTTTAAGATGAGTATTGATATGACTCAGAAACATTTTATATCTGCCTTAATTTTTTTATATTCTTATAATTAGGATCACGAAATACTTAAAAAAAAAGGTATTTATTTATTTGATTGTTTCCTCTTTCAGCTGACATTGATGACATGCATATATGCTACGTGCTTCGAGACGGAGTCAATGCCACAAGCGACACATTCCACTTTTCCATTGAAGACCACGGTAAGATATTTTAACCTCTATTTATTATTTTGGCTCTAGGGTGTATCAGATGTGACTGGTTGGGTTAAGTGCACATTCTCAAGAGAGATAAGTAGAATCTGAAAACCTAGAGTTGTATTGAGCTGAGAAACTTGAATACAGATTTGAATCGGTTTTAATTATTTTATTGCACAACATTTTTCAGACTCTCACCGAGGGGTTCAATGAAACTGTACACTTATAAATCCACCAAGTGCACTTAGTACCCAGTGAGGTAGAAATCCCAGAATGCATTATTAAGTATTTATTATGTGACTGCCAAATAAAATAAAGGCTGAAACAAGTGCTCCACTTTGAACGTCACTCGTGTGATGAAATCTTTCGTCTATATTTAGCCACTATAATATCATTTGAGAAGGGTGACTGTCTGACTTAATGACTGCCATTGTAAGGCTAATTAGGTCTGAGCACGTTTTGTGATAGTTTTGTAGCAAGCTCTGATTAATTAGACAGATTAACTCTTCAATTCCTTTTATTTTTCTTGTAAATTTATGGTCAAGATTCGTTTTGGTACACACAGCCCTCTTGAAAAGATTAAAGGGTTCCACTTTTACATATGCAAATGCAGACTGCTTGTTTTAGTGGGCTTTTGAGGATGCTTTCCGTTTCAAGATGCTCCTGACAGCTTGTTCATTGTTCTCCTACGCCATGGATTTAAAGACACAGCTTGCCTTATGATGGAACCATTTTTATTTTTCCTATGAATATGTACATAAATCCTTTCACCTCCCACTTCCAGTTTCCTCAAGCCACATTTTAGCCAATCATCTGGTAAAATCCGGCATCATTTTATGTACATGCTTTAATATGAGTGGCATAGATAGAAGATTGAAGTGTTTTGCATGGTTTATTTTGGCCAGTGTGATCTGCGGTATGAGTCTGAACTCTGCTTCAGTAGGTTAATTTGTTAATCTTTTGCTTTGTGTCATGAAAGCATTCGATGAGGACTGACATGTTTTTTATGGATTTGGCATTCTCTGCCGTTGTTCTAGGTGCATGCTAATTAGATTATTCATTCGCTCAGTCAATTGACTGGCACAAAGAGAGCCTGTGTCTAACAGAAGTTGGCACGAGTTGTGTGTGTGTCTTCTGAAGTTTGGCAATTATACAATGGGATTCTGCAGAAGGTTGTCATACACTCCGTTCAGGAAGGGCTCAAGATGCCCTCATTGTGTCTTGTGGCGCTTGTTTGTTTTTTAAATGAAGTTTTCTTCTTTCGTTTAACCGCTTGTCAAAGGATTACGAGGAAAATGTCAGTTTTCAAAGGCAAAGCTATTGTGAAATATTAATGTTTTAATCGGTTTAAATGTTTTTGAAGCTTTAATTTGTTCATTTGATGATAAAATATTTAATCCTTTTGTGCTTTTTCATAAATTTCTCATCTTTAGTGTCACGTTATCCTTTAAAAAGCATTCTAATGTGCTGATTTTATGATGAAGAAGTATTTCATATCATTATCTGTAAGTTCAAAAGCACAATCTATTTAAAAATATAATTATATGCATATTTATATTTGTTATAATAAAAATGAGTTTAGATTAGTCTGTCTGTCGGGTTTTGGAGATGTCTGCATCACCATAAGGGGCATACAAATGGTACGTGTATTTGGATATTTGGAAGTTTTTTTACCACTCTTCGTTATTCTATAAGCATATATATTTATTTTTGTTTGTTAAGAGCTAAGATTTAGAACTATTTCTAAATTCTGTTCTAATTTCCTGTAAACTATTAAACCAACAATTAATTTCTTTGTTTGCTTTTTAACTGTTTTCGCGCTAGTGAAGCGTTCAGTTTTTCCACTTACAAGGTCCGCCATGTAAATGGCAAATGCGCCACACAACTGACTCAACTGGTTTAATGCACATTATGCTCAAAGCACACCTATAACTCATTTAGAGAATAAGCACAATCCTGTTAGACCATGCGCCAGGGCGCAAAGGATTTTCCAACCTTAAAATATCAAAAGTGGATTTGGACATGCCGTTTACGCTGTTGCGCCGTGCGCTTTAGACTTTGAGCCTAGATCATTAAAATAGAATCCAAAATGACAAGAATCACTACGCATTTACGGTCACACCTAACAATAAGGTTTCATTAGTTAATGTTAGTTAATATATTTACTAAAATAAACTGATAATGAACAATTCTTGTACAGCATATATTAATGATTGTTTAACATTTACTGTGTGTTAACATGACCTATCAATAAACAACTGCATTTTCATTAACTAACATTACCAAGCATGAATAAATGCTGTAATAGATGTATTGTTGATTGTTTGTTCAAGTTAGTGAGTGCATTAACTAACATTATTTTTACACATTTACTTTTTGCATATTAAAATAAACCATGTTTCTATAGCTTGCCATAGTTTGCCTTTTTGGCAAAAAATAAAAAGTCAATTAAATCTTTAACATGCTCCTCACGGTTTGATAGCTTCATTAAACTTGTAGGCTCATTAAAAGCACATATCGTGCAATTGTCCCTTTCAGGCATCACTTTTGGCCAGTACTACAGTATTTGTATTCAGCGTGCAGCTCCCTAGAATAGTTTGCACCTCCTTAAACAGACAGAATTTGTCCTCACCCTCATGAAATGTCCGTGAAATGAGCATGATAAGATCTAGAGCCCTAAAGTATTCTCTAACAATTGCTTGCTTGTAAGTCCTCATGTATCTTCTTAAAAAATAGTTGCATTGCATGTTTAAAATGCTTCTCTTCGGTTGAGCAAAACGGCACAAAGAGGTTTACAAAAACTGCAAGCCTGGGGACTTTTGCTTTGGTGTGGGTAGCTTTTCTCACCTACAGTTGTTACTGACTTAATCATATTGGACTTTTTCATCCACCGTTCATTAGTCTTAAACATTAACTGCATCCTTCTCATTCTCAGACGTTTTTGTGTCATGTTGTGGTGAAAGTAAACACATTCAAATTCAAGGATTTTTATTAAATATTCTGCCTGACCCATGGGTCAATGTTGGGAATTTGATTTGTGAATATTGTGCTTATGAAACGCTACGTGAGCATTGATATGGAGGCTGGCAGGCTGCTGATGTTATTTGTAGGCAGGAGAGCCGCTGTGGAAGCCACACTAATTCCCCAGGTAGCCCTTGCGGCTGTTTCAGAGGCTGCGTATCCGTGCTGGATTCCAGACACAGCTGTATCATGTCATGTTTCAGCAGCCAAATCTCTCTGCAGGTAGTGCTCGTGTAGTAAGAGGATAAAAATATATAAAAAATCAAAGATGAATCCAATCAGCGGTTTAGTCTTTATCTTAATGCAACACTTTTAATGCAGCTCATACAGGTTGTAAAATAGGGCATTGTTGTTGCTTGCAGAGATTAAGCGTTGGGTTTATGTAGGGTTTGTTTGAGCTAAGCTGAAAGTAGTCAAGAAAATGCGTTAAATTGTGTGTTCGGATTAAGCGGTTTTGTTTCATGTTCGAAAATGTATGTCTTCTCAGATAAATAGGTTTTAATCTTAGGCTTGAGCTGTTGGGAAATTTAGCATCTTATAATGGAGAGAAAAAAACATTATTGTTTCAAATGGAAATTTGGCTTAAAGGAACTCATGCATTTAATGTATTCATGAAGTATACATGATATTACATGACATTAAGTTATATAAATACATTATATGTATATGTAATATTTATATGTTATTTAACCATCAAAATATGAATAGCGTGCTGTATTGAGAAGAGAAAATATTCAACTTAAATAAAAATGAAAAAAAAATTGATAAAAATATATATACAGTAGTAAAAATTAGGTCGATTAATTTATTTTTATGCTTTTGATGAAATAGCATTCAACTTTAAAGCCCTTTAGATAATGCGCAGACCGTTTCTCTGTGTTTCGCTGGTAATGTATTGATATTAATTATTAATTAGGACTATTTAATTGTTAATTTATTATTTATGTACAATAATTAAGGCAATAAAAGAAAAAAGAAAAATGTAATCAACAGAAAATGTAAATGAAAACTGTAAATGAAAAAACTTCGTCTTAGTTCTGGCATTTGAAATAACAAACACTGTACATCTCTCTATATAGGCTAAAACACTGCTTTATTTATTTATTTATTTGTTTGTTTGTACGTTGATTTTAGGTGCCTTTTATTTAGTTTTAATTTCCAAATTGAATCCCCGTTGAACTTAAGAAGTTTACAATAATAATAAAGCTTGGTAACAAGTTTTTAATGATTTATGATGCAATTATAATGTTTTGTTTTGTTATTTCATCTTCATTTACAAGTAGCAGGGCATTTACAGCTACTGTATAATTCTGTTTGTTTGCATCCCGTCAGTTTGTGCCCCTGGCGGCACTGCTGTTACACATAAAAACATTTTCTTAATCCCTTAGTCCTGCCGCAGTGTCACATGCAATGGTAATGGTCATATTGAACTGTCACCCACTGTGTAGATAGGATGGATGGATGGATGGATGGATGGATGGATGGATGGATGGATGGATGGATGGATGGATGGATGGATGGATGGATAAATGAATGGGTGGGTTGGTTTGTGGACGGACGGACGGACGTGCAGACAGGCAGATAGATAGATAGATAGATAGATGGATGGATGGATGGATGGATGGATGGATGGATGGATGGATGGATGGATGGATGGATAGATAGATAGATAGATAGATAGATAGATAGATAGATAGATAGATAGATAGATAGATAGATAGATAGATAGATAGATAGATAGATAGATAGATAGATAGATAGATGAAATTAGTGTATTTAACTCAAAATTTACTGAAAGTTAATTCTAATCAGTTGAAAAGAGTTTTAAACTCAGTGTTGAAGGTAATGAGTTAATTAAATACCTCATTATTTCATCAGTTTACAGTACTCATATAGATTAGTTTAACTCAAATGATTTGTAGCAATCGGTTTCCTTAAACGGTTTATGTTACCTTAACTTATTGGGTTTTACAGTACTCAGTTGG